TCCGCGTGGGTTAAGGCCGCCAGCTCCCAAAGCCGTGCAAGGACACCTCAGGAAGGTGATTAAATTCTGGGGTTGAAAGCAAAGTTACTCTCTCCAGCAGAACATAAAAAAAAAAACCCAAAACCCAATGTTGAGGCTACGGTTGGCGATAGGATCTGAGCGGCGAGGTGGGACGAGCCAGTTTATCAGCAGTCTCTCCCTGTAATAAGGACTTCCCCGCGCAGAGGCGTCATTAGCAGGAGCAGGTAAGAGCAGGGCAGAGAGGGAGGTGACTCAGCCCAGCACCGAGGGCTGCGGGCTCCTGCGGCGGCCAACAGCAGCCTGGATGCTGGAGGGGGTACGGGCAAGGGAAAACACCCGGCATCCTCACTGCACCTTCCTTCGCAGCATCCCAGATTAAATTCCCACCCTTCTATTTTTTTTTTTTTTTAAAAAAAATATCTCATAAAGTAACGAGAGGAGAGACAACCTCCAGAAAATACAGAGTCCAAGGATACATTCGGATTAATCCCTGATCTCTGAAGCCCCAGACCGTTGCCTTGAGCTTATCTGGGCGCTGCGCTCGTGGTTTTACACACAATATCCTGGCTTGTTCGGCAGAAGCAGCTGTTGTGGGTGCGGTAAAACATCCCTCCCACCCACCTTAAATTCAGCGCCCCAGCCCCAAAAGATCTGCCCTCCTGGGTCCAGCTCAGCATCGCAGAGGCTGATGCTCCCACGAGGGTACTGGGTGCCAACATCCAGGGCTCAGCCACAAACAGAATGGAAAAAATTAACAAGTAATAATTAAAAAAAAAAAAGTAGGAGGTCACCCCAGCTGCCGTCACCACGTGATAAGTTGGGGGTTTTTTGCAGAAACACACCTACAGCAGTGTATTTCATCGCAGGATGTATCTGAATTTCATTATTTCCTGACTTTATTCCTCCATCAATTTGTTTTTTCTCTCCAGCAGCCCCAGGAAAAAAAAAAAGCAAACAGCCTGAAAGCCTTGTAACCAGCTTTTTTCCAACCCAGGAGGTGAGAAAACCCCTGTAATAAACTCTGAGAACCATAAATGCTGCCCTTTTCTGCCTACCGAGAGCTCCGTAGCACAGCTCTCGAGGGCACTCTGGGTTTATTTCTAGTGCAGGCTGCCTTCCACGCTGCCCAGGCGAGGCAGATTTTCTGCAGTTCTGGTGGGAAACGGCTCACGGACTTCTTCCGCAGAAATCATTTAGATTTGCACATTAATAAGGACCTCTGTCTCTGCACGGGGAATTTCTCTGAGCCTGGAGACCTTCCCCGTGCTGAAACGACGAAGCCGAAGCCACGACGGATCGTGCAGGGCACGAGCAGCGGGAGAAGACGGCTGCACAGAAACAGGAATTTAGCCGAGACTCGTCCATCTCCAGAAAGATGCTCACCAGGGGCTCCGCGCTGGATTAAACAAGACGCACCTATCGTTGTGTTTTAACAGATCTCGCTGCAGCCGACACCGAGGAATGAAAACCGAGGCACCAGCCCCCAGCCCTGCAAACGCTCCCCGTGGGGCTGGACGTGGCGCTGGGCGACCTGACGACGTCCCTGCTCGCTGCAGGTCACCAGGCGACCTTTAGAGGAAGAGCAAGTCTTTGTGGGACTCTACTATTTCAGCTAACGAAGGCAAACCAGAAGGTATTTATTTCCAGCCGCTGATTTTGCAGCTCTCCTGCCTGCGCTATTGATCCATTAAGAGGACGAGATGAAATTCCAGAGGAGGCACACGGGGTCAGATAGCATCGGCGACTTCTTCCCCGAGACTCGGCAGCCTGACTTGGAAGCTGCTGGTTTGGCTCCGAAGGAGAACCAGGAATTCAACACGCCTGGCTCTGGAAGCCCTGCCCTGCGCCAGCATTTGTCAGAAAGGGAATTTACAGTCGGAAGGCGACGACGCATTTTGTTTTTATCGCCGTGTGACGGAGCACCTAACGCTGGGAAGATTGGGGCGGGGGGGAGAAAAGCAAAATGAGGATGCGCTATTAATAAACTGGTGTTTGCAGATCAGTCAAGCAGAAGCAAAGACTCAGGGGCTTTGATGCACCGTGTGGGAATTAAACCGAGCACCCAGTCTCTCAGCATCCCCCAGCTGATGCTCCAGCGAGCAGACAAACACTGCAACAGGTGGTAGCTGCGGCTGAGCCCCTCGGTACGGTAGCTGGCCAGGTTGAGATGGGTCTAAGTAAGATCAATCTGGGCCCAGAGCCTCAGAGAAGGAAAAACTACAGTCACATTGACCTGGTTCATCACGGAACAATTAAAACTGGGGAACTCACACCCTGTAGCCCTAGGGAAGCGCCCAAAGGTTTCCAATTTAAGCCGCATCTTCAGCCATTCCCAGCCGGTCTCGGTTACGGGTGGAACACACGACCAGCACGTGCCAAAGCCTCAGTCAACATCAAATCACCTTGCACGTGGCATTTTCTCTGACAGATCGTTTCTTTTTGTGCTCTGGATGGACGCTCTCACGCAGCTCGACGTGCGCCGCTTGGAGAAGTTTGACTTTTGGAGCAACCTTATTTGGGTGAAATGCTGCAGAAAAGCACAAAAACTCACAAAAACCCCCAAACCTACACGAGGACCAATAAACCCCAAGTTTGCTGCAAAGCACGTTTTCACAGCAGCACCCAGGGATTTGGTCGCGGCTGTGCAGGCATCACCAGTGCAGGTAAATTCAAGCTGGTTTTTAAATCCCCAATTGCCCTAAGAGCCGAGTTCAGGGTCATTTCCCAAGTGACGAAATGCTGACAGCCTTTGGAAACCCCTTCTGAAAAGCAAGACCTGATGCTGAATTGTATTCAGACCCAGGACCTTCTCAAACCTTGCGGATGCCCCCACCCACTGGCCACCCAAACCCTGCCTTGCACCCTGAAAAAAAAAAAAGAAATAACAAGGACAACTAAAATTTCCAAGCATGCTGAATGGCAAGCAGAAACCAGAACTATTCTCCTCCACGTCAAAATAAAGCTTTCAACCCTGAAAGGGCGCAGAGATTAAAAAACCACACACTGAGCTTTCACCTCTTGAGCAGTAAATTTAAAGTATGTTTATTAGGGGGCTGGTTCCTGGGAAGTTATTTTTCAACTCTGCGCTTCCTGGTTGAAGCAGGGGGGAAAAAAAAAAAAAATCACGGGTGTCAAAGCCTCGTCTGCGCAGCTTTTGTTTCAAATTGCTGGAGAAGGGAAGCAAAGAAACCTTGGGCACCGACCCAGCGCCTTGCTCGGAGGTTTCAGGCTGTTATTTCCCCTGTCCAGCCGCGAAGCGCAGGGCAAAGCCTCCACACACACGAAGAATCCGGGGAGGGATGGCACCTCGGAAGCCCAACATGTTGCTTTAAGCCCTCAAAACACCTGGAGAACAGCAGTGCCCTGAGCCGTCCAGCTCAACTGCAAGATCGTTTTGGGCAGCTGGGACGGGAGAAGACCTCCCAGGGCACCAACCGCCTCCTCCACCGACAGAAACCCTCACCCTAATTTTTCCTTACCGCCCTTTGCCCTCCCAGGGCTATTTCACAACCTTTGGCTTCACTTCAGCTTCTTCGCCACCATGTCTCTCCCTGTGACTCTACTTCTGTTTGCTGCTCACAGCCAGCTCCCTGCTCTCTCCAACTTCATTTTTTATTTATTTTTTTTTTTAGGGACTTGTCCGAGCTTGCAGTCTCACCACCACGTCTCTCCCTGTGACTCTACTTCTGTTTGGTGCTCACAGCCAGCTCCCTGCTCTCTCCAATTTCATTTTTTATTTTATTTTGTTTTTTAGGGACTTGTCCGAGCTTGCAGTCTCTGCTCAGAAAATAGCCTGCGCCCTCATCGCCCTGCTGCAGGCTTCAAACTCTTATGGAAAAGAAGGCAGCAAGGCCTTGTAAACAGCACAAACACTGCTTTAATTCTAGTTTTTAAATGATTTTGTTTCCCTCTGATCCATCCTGGGACGCCAACTCCATCAGACACTCACAGGTTTATGCCCCCGCAGATCAAGCCACCCTGCCAAGCTGGCCATCACGTGAACACAACAGCTGCACGGACATTTTTAGCCATTTCACCATTACATAGAGCTAAAAACGGTTTTGAAACTTCCGATGGGCACAGTCCGTGCATTTAAAACGGCTTCTCCTTTTCCCCTTTTCAGTATAAAAACACAACTCCACAACCTCCTCCCTGGAAAAAAATAATATGAATAATCCGAATATTGCATGTTTGAATATTCTAATTAAACCAGTCGCGATCTGGCCAGGACTCAGGTGGTCTCTTGACAGTCTGCAGGAAGGCGGGCGAGAAGCTCCAAAGACTCTTTTATTTTTTTGAGCAACATGCAGCCCAGGAGGCAGCGACTACCAGTTATCATCATCCATGGCCCGGTTCCAGAAGCAGTAGGTGTACTCCTGGCCAAAACCCAGCTCTAATTATACCGTGTCCACCTACCTCTGTACTTCAACTGCAAGTTCTTTTATCAGGTTCTCTCTGTAAAAACGTACACACTGGGGGTTACTGGCACGGAACAACTGCTGCCTTCTGTCCGAGACTGGGTGCATTTCAGATATTTTTTCTTTTATTCAGATAGTTGGGGGTTTTTTATTTTATTTCTGATGCCAGTTAATTTGAGGATGCTTTTGTAGTAACAAAATAAATGCTTTTAGGTGTTGTGTTAGCCTTGAACAGAGAATAATCTGATATTTTCTCCCCCCCTCGAGCGAGTGCAGAAACCCGTTTATCCCAACGCAGCTTGCACATCCCCTTCCTATTAGGTTTCTACTAATTGCGGCCAAGCCAGGACTAACCTGAAGAGGTTACGCAGAAGAAATCAAGGCTAAGAGAAAGATTTCCTAAAGCGCAGAAAAACGTTCCTTAAAATATCACGACGCGTCGGGAAAGGAAGCGTCTTCCCACCCGTTCTGCCCTTACTGCAACCAGCTCAAAACAGCGATCGGGCTGAAAAAATAAGTCAGTTCAAGATGTAAACAGAGACGAGCAGACACCCTGCGCCAGCTCTTGTCTCCTTTCTCCGTGTCGAATGCCTCTGCTTCCCAAACATGAGGTGCACGCATACATAATGTTATTTTTTTTCTTGTTTGAAGAGATTTTTGCTCATTTGAAGGGTTGTTCTCAAACACCCATTTGCTCCCGTTAGAGAATTCACAACCACACATTTAAATCGGTCACAGAAATACTTACAGACCAAACGATGATCATCCTTCTCGACACGGAGTGATCTAAGTTCCAGTAGATAAACGGCAGGAAAGTGATATAAAAGATCTCTTCGCCCAAAGCAGCTGAAAACTTGAACAAGTAGTAGTAGAAGTAGTTCTTCACAACGTACTTCTGCGTGCAACCCTGGAAACGAGAGGATTTTAGAAAGCTTTAGTGAATTGGCAAATTAGAATGAACATTTAAGGTATTTTATGTAAACACCTGTACACTTCAGAAAAAAGAAAAGAAAGAAAAAAAACCCCAAAAATATTTAAATAGAGGATTTTCAGTTTGGGGGCAGGAGGCAAGGGAGCCAATCTGGTCTCTTCCCCATCTCCCCAGGAAGAAAAAAATACAACGAACCATGGAAGCTGGCTACACAAATATGGGATGAGAGAACTTGCTAAAGATGAGATCATGAAGGTTCCCAGGTAGACACGCTAAATTAAGATACAGCTTTGACACAAGCTCCTAAAACTCTTCCAAGAGAAAAGCTACTACGCTTGGAGTAGACTGTGCAACTGATCCCATCCTACGTGCTGGGGAGAAAGCGCAAAATAATATCTGAGGAGTCTGGGGACGGACATGGGATTTTTCGTAAAAGCCGTTAGAATCCCCCCGGAACCTCGCAGGATGAGGGATTAAACTTTCTCATTTCAGAAATCCGGTTTGTGGGGAGGGGAAAAAAAAACCCAATAATTTTCCTGGTGCTAAAGGAAATCCGGAGTTATTCCCAGGCAGAAGGCATGGCCAAGTCCTTCCGTGTGATTTACTAAAATGTTCTTTCTCCTTTTCTATCAGAAATCACCCTTCACTTGTTTGGGTTCCTTTTTTGTTTTAATGTCCAACCTGTGAGACAGAGGACGAACAGATCACGCCACCTTTGCAATTATTCGTGTGAACCTTTAGCATCTCCTAACGCTCCCTGAAGCTTATTCAATCTCTGCTTCTAAATAACCCTGATCTTTAGACTTGGTTATTTTTCATGTACCCAAGTGACCCGATGCTTTCCCCCAATCTCTGGAGCACTTCCAGCGAGCCAGCTCCTCCATCCATCCATCTCCAGCGTTATTCGGTCTGGATCAGAGAGGTTTTAACGAGCGGTAATTAAGGCTGTAGAGAAAGTCAGGGGGTTTTCAGAACATTTCAGCAGCAAGGCGCAACGAGCCGCGATGCTCGCAGGCACGGAAGACGGGTAATTTCACACAAATGACTCCTTTTGCCAACTATATATCTATTTTGAAAAAGCTGAGCTGCTCAGATTCCAAGAGACTCACACCAGCGTTGAATTAACTACTCGCCTGAAGCGCTAGCCCAGAAAAGAGCTAAAAAAGCTAAAGATACCGCTCCTTCCAATTCTCGTAGGATCTCCGAGCTGAACAGGCTCCGGCTCTCCCTGCCCTGTCTCTAGAGAAAAGCCTCGCAGCATCAGCCTGCTCAAGCTCACCGTCTGACCCAGAGACACCCTTAACCAACGTTTTGTTCTCAGCTCCCAATTACTTCGGATCTTTCAGAAGACGTGCACGGTTTAATTAAAAGCTCTCGAGGTCCCTCGCTTCCCTTCCAACAGGACTGACTCGCGGAAGAGCCGCAATTTCCCTCCCGAAGCCTCTGGTCAATGCGTTGGGATAGTTCTCACTTCAGGGTTTTTTAATGCTGGGGAGGGGTGGGGGAAACAACAAAAAAAAAAGGCACAAAAGTTAGAGAAGCCACGAGAAAAAGTTAAAAACTCTCACTTATGCAGAGACAATATAAATCAGACAATTTCCCCAGTGGGGAAAAAGCGCAGCTTCTCACCTCAAGCCCTTTTAACCAGGTAATTCTCTTTTTTACCCTCTCCAGAACGCGATGCAGGCAGTTGGCACCAGCTACCCAGGTTTACCCAGGGTTGTTGTCGCAGCTAGGACGGGTCCAGGATGCAGGTAAGACACCTCAGTTTACTCCTGAAGACTTTTTTAATCTTCAGATTACTTTCCCTCCCGCTGCGATTAGTGCTGGGGAAGGCAGGCCGAGTATTTCAGGTTGTATCTTTGCACGTTGCCCCTGGAGCGTGGTAAGCAGCCCTCCTTTCTTCCAGAAGATATCTAGCATTTTCCAGACACGGCACTGTCTTGAATCACAGTGCCTGAAGATCAGACGTGACACGGGAAGGCTGAAGGAAGAGCCCTGCCCGATTTCAGGCGTTTTGCAGGCTGTTTTCAGAGCAGCGTGCCGCCACCGAACCGTGCTCAGCCGGTGATCTCCCCCAACCGCTTTTTTCCCCCTCCATGAAAGCCCGACCAAACCTACTGTCTTCTGTTGTGCAGTTATTTATTACACCTGCTTGTTCAACAGGTATCCGCACCTATGGAAGAGAAGTCAATTTCCATCCACACCTTCAGTTTGACAGGACTATCTGATTTCTGGTTTTGTCCTCCAGCCTCTCCCAAATTCATCCGACAGGCAGCGTGCCTCTCGCACCTACGTTCCCAGCTAGGTTCTTCCACATGGCTACAAAATCTATTCTGAAGAGCCCCCTGCACTCATCGTTCCCCATCAAAAGACACTCTTTGTGGCACTCAAACCCACAGGCCATCCAACTTCATACATTCCTTTCTTAACAGATGCCTGGGGAGTTGACATCCACGATTCATCAGAACACAGATTCGTTTGGGTTGGAAGCGACCTTTAAAGGTTGTCTAGTCCAACCTCTAAACCTACCAGCTCACATGCTTTGGAGATTTTGCTAGTCAAATGGCAAGACTGGCTGATCTTCTCCATGCAGTGGCCTCATGGTGAGTGAGGTTCTTTTGAGCTTCAGCATCCCACCTGGTTTGTGCAAGAAGGAAACAGCCAGGTGAGAGAGAGAGGCAGGAGAGCGAAGGGCAGAAGGAAAAGGCTTCCTTCCCCTCTGATTTACAGTGGAAGAACAGGTTCGCTTAATTGCTTTTTAATTTGCAAAAATTAGATCGCAATTTTACGAGGTGCACTATGGAGCCTACGCCTGAAAGCATCTGAGGATTTAAGGAGCTGTGATGTCTGCGGACACAGGGAGGAAAAACCACGAGTTCAGGGCCAGAGAAAGTAAATTACAGACAGTTCAGAAGGATGGAGACTCCAGCTTCAAAGCAGAGATCAAACTCCTCTGAAACTCGACTGCGTTTCATTTCTCTAAAGGCTGCGCGTTGCTAAAAATGTTTTTTTGGGTAGAAAGAGGATGCGTCACACGGCACAGCTTCAGACGGCCACCCTGCCCACGCGCCAGCTCCCGGCGAGCACCACCACCTCTTGCTTTTGTCTTCCTGCCAAAACGCATGAGTCAGAGCGTCACCAGGACCTGCACGGCTGCTCTCCAGAGATCCGGAGGAGGATGAGTGGGAAGCCCCTCAACTCGCTTTGCACCCAGCACGCCAGGTCTGAGGAGCAACCGGCTGATGGGAGCTCCTCAACGGGAGCCCGTGAGAATGGCCAAACATCCAGGGAACTGTTGGATCACAGAATCTTCCATGTCAGAAAAGATCTTGCCATTTTCAGACAACTAAACTATTATTTATTTTGATTTGTCATCTGTTATAACCAGTACAGGGAGAAGCAACTGTTTTCCCCAGCAGACAGTGCTAGGATTCAAGTCAAATATAGACCATTAGTAGTTTACCTTAGAAAAAATGTTACGGGTGCGAACTACACTGTCCTACGATGCAGGAACTTGAATAGCTGTTTTACATAAAAATCTCATGGTTTAGACAACACTACCGGCACATCCCAGACCCCGGATTCCCTTGCCATAGCAAGTAAATTGCCCAGGTGACCAATAAATACTCCCTGCAGGGAATACACATGAGGTAAAGCAAGAGACCTGGCTGTTTGAAGGAATTTTCCAGGGAAAACAGATATTCTCTGGCTCCTCGCCCAATAAACCTACCTCTGTTCTCCAGAGACTCAAAGGAAATAAATAAATAAATAAAAATGACAGCAGATGAGCTTTTATTCTTCTGGTTGATATCTGAACTAATGGCCCAAGACATTCAGCAGAGCTATAAAACAGCAAGTGGCTCACCTCCAAGTACTGGAAATTAATCTGAGGGGCCTGACAGCTCCTCGTTATGAGGTCCAGCAGCCTCCAGAAAGATGACTCGGGCTGCGAGCGGGGACGTGCTGAGTCACGAAGCACCTCAGCATCGGTGCTAACGACTGGGGGTCCCGGTGCGGCCCCTCGCACCGCCACCGGCCCCGCCAAAAACCCCCCACGGCCCCCCCCCCCACCCCCCACCAGCCACTCGGGATACCGGGTACAACCAGCCAGGGAAGCTTTGGTAGCACCAACAGAGCAAGATCTAGAGGATGAATAGAAGCTGGTAACGAAGGGCACGTGGCTGGTTTTGCTGCCTGTTCTCTTTGTCACAGCAAACCCGGCACTAAGGTCTACACAGGGTTGTAACGTGAATCTGGGATGCGACTGACTGCGCTGGCACCTTCGAAAAGGCCATCGCTCACAGGGCTGTCCCAAACCAGCCCCTGTGTCTCGTTCCCTCCCTGGAAGCATCCAAGGCCAGGTTGGACGGGGCTTTGAGCAACCTGCGCTGGTGGGAAGTGTCCCTGCCCATGGCCAGGGGGTTGGAACGAGATGATCGTTAAGGTCCCTTCCAACCCAAACCATTCCGTGCAGACTATCAACATTCCTTACCAGCTGCTTTCCATGGGAACCTTAAAAATCAGGCACGTGCAAGAGAACCAAGCTCCCTCGGCAGCCACCCCGGGCAGGGCAGGGCGAGGGACCAGAGCAGCAGGAGCGATGCCAGGCAACGTGAGCTTTGTGCTCGGCCCATCGAGATAAGAAACTGGATCTCACGTTTCTCCAGCTGCAGCTTCGAGCTGAGGAGCTGCCGAAAGTTCGGATGTATCCTCTAGGAGGACAAAGCACCTGAGGCAGAAACGCCTTGCTGCCAGCTCTCCTCACGGTGCTCGTGGGCTTTTCTCGCGAGGGTTTGTCCCACCTGCTGGACACAGCCCAGCTGCTGCCAACTTACCGCTGCACGCAAACAAGGTGAAACCCAGTAAACCAGTAACATGATTGAAAGAGGAAAGTCAAGACCCTGAGGCTGATGCAAAACAAAAAAAAGAAATCTCTTGCAAGGGAACACCACAACAGAGGGACCTTAACTCAA